TTAGATACATTTACCATTAAAATCAACTAGTAAAAACATGCATAAACGATTATCATCGTCATTTCAATAATTTAGATTAACAATTTTTTTTATCACATTGGGTGCAAGATTCAGAGTAGAACATCGATAACAAAATCTGCAGATTGAAATTCGACAATGTGTCTTGATGTCCACACAAAGACATGAAATTTTATCACCATTAAATTGTAATATAGCGATGTGGGCACAAAAATCATGTCTAGTTGGAGTCTACTGATTACTTAGAAATGCTTCCATTAGTCTGTTATTCAAACTCTTATTCTAAGAGTTCCAAATGCAAAGCTAGAAATATAACTATAACAAGATCATACAATATTGCACAAATCTTTCATACAAATTTCAAATTTCAAAACATTCAATATTTTGCAGATATTTTGAAAATTGATTTGTCTTCTTTTATTGATAATATATATACTAGAAATAAGCTATTATCCATGATTTATTCTAAAATGGGTCTCCAAAAAAGATTTTCTAAGAAGAACCATTAATTTTCCGACATTGTTACTTGACATTCGTTACCAACCGTTCTTGATTCACACAAATGAAGCAGAATGAAGCATAATTYAACTGATTGTTTTCTGGATATAAAGTAATTCTGATAACTGACATTTCCCGCCCCTCAATTCCAACCGTTTCTGCKTGTTTGTTTTTGGTGTCTGTTTTCAGTTGAATAGTTATTTCTATTTTATTATCAGATTATGTTGATCCCGATCCAATCTATACTTCCTTCTTATAACCATCTCTGCCAGTGACATAAAACTAAGTAAAAAAAACTTTTTGAATTTATTTATTTAGTGATATTTTTCGGATTTGTTGTTAGCTGACAATGCATTTTAAAATTAAAGTATATTTGCCTTGGATGAATAGMCAGTGCGACAAGCGGCCTCATTTAGCTGCGATAAGCTGGACTTTGAAAGCCGCATCAATACGGTTTCAATTCTCATCGGTATTAGTGTGTATATAGCTATTTCAAATAAGGTTGTCGGATAAAATGGCGAATGTCAATTGTCGAACGGTGATTGAACGACCGAAAGTAGTCATGAGTTTTGCTTGGTGAAATGAAATAACAACTGATTTGTATTTTATGGTCCAGTGTGGTAAACATTGGCTCCATTTAGTCTTCATTTCTATGCAAGGTGAATCCAATAAGTGAAATTTTGTTTATCAAAACAGTGTAACCATAGTCCCTTTCGGTCGTGCAATCTCTCTTCGACAATCGCCGTTCGCCGTTCTCCCCGACAACGTTTTTTGAAATAGCTGTAACAATAGCGGCCAATTGACAGCTACAGACCGATCTTCACACAAACATACATAATTAATTCCTTTGAAATTAAACTTTGACAGTCTTGCACCTCAAGTACCGCTAAAAAAAAAGAACCTTCAATACAGTGCAATGATGCACTTTCCTTCAATCTTCTCAAATCAGCAGTACTATGTTTGAGAGGAACAATTAACCAATGTTAAAATTTCCAATAGTTATTATTTGTGCTAAAATGGGTCTCCAAAAAAGATTTTCGAAGAAGAACCATTTTCCCACATTGTTGAAGCAGAATTTAACTGAAAAAGATGTTTTCTGGATAAAAAGTAATTCTGATGACTGACATTTTCCGCCCCTGGTTTTCAGTTTCCAATTAAAGTTCTAGTTAATTTTAGACGTTGCCCTTCTCTCAACCCCCCTCGTGATAAATATTGCAGTCCCTTAAACTGAATCCACGCAATTATACCTTTTCCTTTTCAATAACCTCATTGAAAATAATCCATTCAATCGAAAAGGCATTGTCATCAAAGTATATGTTTCGCTAAAATGACTATGCATGATCTTCACTGAAGACTATTCCTTCGCTTTTAATGAACAGAAAAATGGTGTAGTTTCATAGTGAGGCGAATCAGAATGATGACGACCCTATAATCAAATCAGTTAAAGCCGTCAAACATCTGTAAATATGAACAAATATGAGCGACATCGTTATAGACTTAGTCTTGGGACTAATATTAGGGTACGCAAATACTGAACATTTAATCAATTGAATCCTTTCCAAAATAAGGTCGAATAGTAAGGAATCGATCAAGTCTCTTACACACTTGGCGTATTCTCTGTTCGTATCTTGTTTCTTTTATTAAATCTTCCATCCACTTTTTTTCTAACGAATTTCAAGTCTCACTTTATATCGATGTCCCCTGATATTGTTGTCTCTTGTCCTTTCTGGTATTTATTCTAAACAGTAAAGTCTGGTATTTATTCTAAACAGTAAAGTCTGGTATTTATTCTAAACAGTAAAGTCTGGTATTTATTCTAAACAGTAAAGGAAATTGACTAAAGTATGAGACTAAATAATTGGCATCTGCTTTAACTGTTTTTTTTTTTGGTTTGGTATATTGCATGTTTTGTCTGTGTTGCCTTATGTCGAAAAATTGGGCAAGGTAGACATTGCTGTAGAAAAGATGTGCCTTAACAAATTGCCTCAACAAAAATGGTAATTTCTCCTTTTTGAATGCTAGAGCTATTTCGTATTATTTTGGACCATTTTGCTGTTCGTCGCCGATCTGTAGACGCCTCGGGAAGCTTTGAATATGGCCCGAACACATGCGAATATTCGGCAAATGATTCTCCTTCGTTCCATTGCAATAGCAACAAAGTAAATATAAACAAATCAAATAAAATTTAAAAATTTGATTCCTTTTTTTTACTCAAATATGTTGAGATAATAAAATTGTAATACTTACAGCTATCTTGTCAACACACTATCGCAAGAGAAAATAAGAGCGCTGTGCTGAAATGATAAATAAATTATTTGATCATGAACTTGCCATATTTTGTTATTGAATAGAAATAAAGAACTAGTAGGGCRGAAGAGAGAATTAGAATAGACATTGGCCGCGGTTTGCTGGATACTATTAGAGCAAATTAATGTAGAAATGTTCAAGTTTACAGTGAATGACTTTGATATGAACTAATTTCGATTTTGATTTCACAGCCTCCATAGACTGTTAGGCGATGATTTAAGATGAACARGAAAATCAGCCATCAAAAGTCGCCTTCTAAGCTTTCTGTTGGGCTATCAATCCTTGCTGTGCTGTTGTGCTGTTGCGAATTTGTTCGCATTGAAATGATGCTGAAAGAACAAAAGAACACAATCAGAAAGATGGAGGAGAAAGCAATGAAGACAAATGAACTCCAGGACCGAATGTACCAGATGGTGATGAAGCAAATCAAACAATTGGAAGCAAAGATGAATTTGATCAACGCTGATAAAGGACATGACAGGACGAAGAGAGAAAAAAGAGATGACTCATCCCAGTCGAGAAAAAGTGAGAGAAGTCAATCAGACGATCTTCTTCAGTATATTCCAACAATTGTGCAGGCAATTGGTGCCTTGCAAATTGAGAAAAAGATAGCAGGTCCTCCAGGCCCTCAGGGAGATCGAGGCCCTCAAGGAAAAACTGGACTGCCCGGAACTCCTGGTCCTCRAGGTATGCCAGTCAATAAATCTATCAGTTCTTCAATAATCAATATATCAAATAAAAAAGACATATATATGCTGAAGGTGAAAAACAAGCGATAACTATGAAATGGAAAGCAAGAAAAGCAGGATATGCTCATAAACAGTTATAAGACACTATTGAGGTTATCAGCCGTAAACGAAGATTTAAATCGCTTGTTCTTTCGAAATAAATGTTGTCCAAGAGATTGGTCGTTTTACATAGATTTCGATATTACTCTGCCAAGCACCCTAAGATTTTTTTGATATAGGAATGACAGGAATGATACCTTTAACTCTTATAGTTTATTATGAAACAACTCTTCAAATTTTTCACTCTTGAAATTTCCCAGTTTTTTATTTTTTTCCAGTTCTTTTTTAAATAAAAGTCAACCATAAAACTAATACCAATGGAAATGAATACACAATGTAAAGCGTAGTGAGACTATACAAAGATTTGCGTTCCCCATTTAATTCAGTTTACCATTTACTGTTTATACATTTCCAGGTCCCAAAGGAGATCCTGTTCTGCCAGTATCTCCTCCATCTATTGTAATGACTCCGCGCAGTAATCTATCCGTCTTTGAAGGCCAGTCTGCTGTATTCAATTGCTCTGTTAGTAGTAATCCAGAATCTGTGATTAAATGGAGTAAGGTAGATGGTGAAGTTCCTAAACGTAGAGCAACAGACACCGGTTCTGGCTTCCTAAAGATCGTAAACACTGCATATCACGATGCAGGTGTCTACATATGCAAAGCTGAAAACATTGTGGGGAAAAATCAAAGCAAAGTAAGGCTTGAGGTATATTTTCGTCCTCGCATAATTTCAAATCATAGGCAAACCATCTATGTGAGGATGGGAGATAACATAACATTGCCAGCATGCCACGTTAAAGGACATCCTGCACCTGAGATCGCGTGGTCCAAAACTAACGGATCATTAAGTAATCGTACAGTTATCAAAGATCAGCGTTTAACAATCATCAAAACCAATAAAGAGGACTCCGATAAATACTTGTGTGAAGCTAACAATGTACTTGGTTCTGATAAAGCTCAAGTATTCATTGTACATGTTGTTAAAGTACCAATCTTCACCACAAATCCGCCTGCAACTTATGTTTCACGCGAAGGTTTGACATTAACCCTCAACTGCAGTGCTGAAGGTGATCCCGACCCTGTCATCCAGTGGAGAAAAGAGGAAGGAGATTTACCTATCGGCAGATATGAAATAAGGGATACATCTTTGATTCTGAGAGACTTGAAAGTAGAAGATGCCGGAGTGTATGTGTGCACTGCAACTATTGCTGGTATATCTGATGCTACTACAAAGACAAAACTTACTCTTAAACCAGCTGAATGCTCAAGCATTTACAAACAAGGGGAGAGACAAAACGGTGTGTACACTGTATGGCCTGATAACCAGGGTAAGATCAAAGTCTACTGCGACATGAAAACTGATGGTGGGGGTTGGACTGTGTTCCAAAGAAGAATGGATGGATCAGTAGACTTTTATCGCAACTGGACTGACTACAAAAGAGGCTTTGGAAATCTGACTGGCGAGTTCTGGTTGGGTAACGACTTCATTCATCGACTGACGGCAGTGAAACATTCCAGTCTTCGCGTCGATCTTGGTGATTGGGATGGAACTAAGATATATGCCAAATATGGGCAATTTAAAATTGAAGATGAATCGCACAACTATACACTGATGGTGTCCTTGTATTCAGGTAATGCTGGTGACTCGTTGGTCTACCACACCAATAAGGATTTTACAACAAAAGATAGGGATAACGACGAGCGGGCTGGAAGTAACTGTGCTGTTCTCTACCATGGTGCTTGGTGGTACTGGAAATGTTATCGGTCGAATTTGAATGGTAAATACTTGATTAACAAAACGGATAATAAAGGAGTTAATTGGGATAAATACAAGAATGAATGGTCTCTGAAAACTACTGAAATGAAATTACGACCATCAAGTTAGTCCATTCATTCTAGACCTAAGTCTAATATTGTGTTTCCATCAAATTTCTCGTCAAAACTAAGACGTTGGTCTTAACTTTGAGAGCTTGTGACATACATGTACTGCAATAATCAAAAGTGTCAACAAATCGTATGTAAACATATATCAATAATTACAAGCACAAATAAAAAATAATTCATATTCGGTTCTGCCTCCGCAAGAACATCTTCATATTTATTTAAGAACATGGGCTTCCTGTGGAAGCCTGAGACGTCCAAAAATGATTCTTGTCTGAATATGGAAAAACTGTGATTCTAGTTTTTCCTTTTATGATCTTATTTGTGATTTTAGAGCACTGATTTCCATGTTGTAATATATACTCACTTACCAGAATCCACGTCATACATGTCTTCTAGGGGAAAATAGTCGAATTTAAAGCCCATGATTTCAATATATTTGTGTATTTATTTTAATTGAAATTTTCACCTACCTGAATGCGATGATGAGCCTGGATTGGATAATATGTCCACTTTTAATAGCCGACTTTAGATATTYTGGTTCGATGACTATGCACAAAAGAACGCACACGAGGCTCCGGGGAAACAATGGATAATCTTGATTTATTCTTTTATTTCCCCGGAGCCTCGTCCGCAATTCTTTTGTGCATGGTCACTGAACCAAAATATCTAAAGTCGTCTATTGAACAGACTAGTGTGTAGGCTYGCGAGGCAAGGGATAGGGACATAGTACCACAGGTAATCCACATATTGCTAAGAGCGCTCGCCGATAACATATGCATAATTAAAAGTGTGCACATTCGTTCTTTTAAATAGAAATGTGAATGCAGCCTATACTACTTGAAAAGAAGCCAGAAAAAATTCTGACTTTGAACGTTCTTATCTTCTTCTGACTATAATTAATTTAAAATTTCAGAATATATACCATGTCCGTACGAATTGAAAACATAACTCGGCCACTCTGTTTAAAAATTGATTCTCGACATTCTCGGTTGCGCAATTGCCGCGCTGTGAAAAGCTATTATACGTTTACAGCTGTAATGAAAAAAAAGCCAATGAAAGCGCGCTTTAAAATACCACATTATTGAAATATACAGAAATAATTACTAAATGATTCTGCAGATATTGCAAACAAACATTAATGTAGGAAACTAATAAAAGACAACAACA